AGCCTCCCACTGTGGTTCCTGGTGGAGACCTGGCCAAGGTACAGCGGGCTGTGTGCATGCTGAGCAACACCACAGCCATCGCGGAGGCCTGGGCTCGCCTGGACCACAAGTTTGATCTGATGTACGCCAAGCGTGCCTTTGTTCACTGGTACGTGGGTGAGGGGATGGAGGAAGGGGAGTTTTCTGAGGCCCGGGAGGACATGGCTGCCCTTGAGAAGGATTATGAGGAGGTTGGTGTGGATTCTGTTGAAGGAGAGGGTGAGGAAGAAGGAGAGGAATACTAAAAATGTCACAAAGGTGCTGCTTTTACAGGGAAGCTTATTCTGTTTTGAACATTGAAAAGTGGTCTGATCAGTTAATTCATATGTAGCAGTGTGTGCTCTCATACAGTTACTGACCTATGCTTTAAAACATAAATGCTTTGTCACAGACCCAAACTGTCCATTTCTCTGAGGGGTTTTGAATAAAGTGTTCCCTGTCCTAAATTAACTATCTTGTGTTTGTCCTTTGTTTTAGTTTGGGACCAACAAACTGAATCCAGGAAATTAACACTGGGCAAAATCCTCAGCAATTTATTTTTTAATTTTTTATTTTGAGACAGTCTAATTTGCCTAAACTGGGCTCAAATTTGCTGTCCTTCTTTAGTCTCCCAGAGTGCTGGGATTACAGGCATGCACTACAATGCCCAGCTGCCTTGCACTTTTATTTGGATTCCTGAAAATTTATGTAAAGGTTATCATTAGTATTATATACTGTTCTTAAATTTTTACTTCATTTTTATGCTAAGGTTATTAAAATTTTCAGTTTAGAGTTGAAAGTTGCCTAAACATAACCATGGTCTGGTTGGCTGCTGAATCTCATACAACTAACAGATAAAATAGTGAATAACCCAAATGCATCACAAGGTTCCAGAAACTTTTTCATGCTCCTACAACTTTTATTTTTTTTGAGACGGTGTGGCTATGTAGTTGAGGCTTGCCTCAAATTTATTATGTGGCCCAGCCTGGCCTCAAACTCAAGGTGATCCTCCTGCCTCAGCCTCTCAAATGCTGCAATTATAGGCATGTGCTACCACATCAAACTATGCTCAACAATTTGACACGTGTTTTGTGCCATTTGCTGCTTCTGCCGAGTTCCCAAAAGATGTCTGCTCTGTCCAAGTGCTTTCTATACTAACCGTACATCTTTTTTTTCCAAATCTATTTTTTTTTTTTTTTTTGGTTTTTCTCCGGTACTGGGAACCGAACTCACGACCTTGCACTTGCCAGGCAGGTGCTTTTGCCGCTGAGCTAAATCCCCAGCCCCCAAATCTATTTTTTGTTGAATATTATATTTGAATAGCCTAATAGAACAAAACAGTACAATTATAGGCAGTAAGAAATTTTTAAGTCAAGCATTCTCTAAAAATAAGAGTTGTACTGCCAGTCCAAAAGATAATACCAGTATTAATGAAGTTATTTTTTGGTATCAGGTGCTGACTTATTTTTCCCTTGACATTGCCAACTAAAAGATACGTGATGGTATTTAGCTACTGAAATTTGTGTGTAATGTAAGTTAATAAAAACAATGCAGTATAAGAAGCAGGGCAGGGGGTTATAGCTCAGGGGTAGATACTATATTTGATCTTAGCCAAAAGGCCAAGAAGCAATAGCTCAGTGGTAAAATATGCGTTTGGCATGCACAAAGCCCTAAATTTAATCCTCAGCACCATCAAAAAAGGAAGATAGCCACGTATGGTAGCACACACCTATAATCCCAGCACTCGGGATGCTGAGGCAGGAGGATTATTGTGAGTTTGAGACCAGCCTGGCCTACAAAGTGAGCCCAAGGCCAGCCTGAGCTATACAGCAAGACAGTTTCAAAAAAAGAAAAAAAGGGGGAGGGGGACGGACTGGGGATTTAGCTCAGCAGCACAGTGCCTGCCTGGCGAGTGCAAGGTTGTGAGTTCGATTCCCAGTACCAGAAAAAAACCAGAAAAATAAAAAGAAAGAAAAAATAAAAGAAGACCACAAACAAAAAAAACCATAAAGAGATATCTTTAAGATTAGAAAGCTGGGTATGGTGGCACACACCCGTAATCCCAGCACTCTGGAGGCTAAGGCAGGAGTATCATTGCAAGTTTGAGACCAGCCTGGGCTACAAAGTGAGCTCAAGGCCACCCTGAACTGCATAGTGAAAGCCTGTCTCAAAAAGACAAAAAAAAAGACATGTACGAATTTACTCTCAATATATGGCAAGGATGGAGTACCTCAATAGAGTAACATTTATCTTATTACAGTTCTCTTCTTTTTGGTGTTTTGTTTGGTTTGAGACAGGATCTTGTTGTGTAGTCCGGGTAGACCTTTAACTCCTGGCAATCAGCTCGAACTCCTGCATCAACCTCTCAAGTGCTGGTGTGCACCACCATGGCCAGCTTTATATTATTACAATTCTTAACCAGAATGGATGCTGAATTTAAAGGTGTTTTCAGGAATGTTTGGAGATTAACATATGATTCATCTCTGACATACTAATGTTTTTGTTTTTTGATGGTACTGGGAAACAATGAACCCAGAGACCACTGGGCTGTATCCTCGGTGTTTTTTTGTGTGTGTGCCGGGAATCAAAGTCAGTACCTTGCACTGTGAGGCAGGTGCTGTGCCGCTGAGCTATATCCCTAGCCCCTCCTCAGTCTTTTTTAAATTTTATTTTTATTTTTATTTATTTATTTATCTTTTTGAGACAGGGTCTCGCTATGCAGTTCAGGCTGGCCTAGAGCTCACTGTAGCCCAGGCTGGTCTTGAACTCGCAACAATATATATAGACCATGGTATCCTACTGTGACATCACATCATGGCATTTTATGTTATTCTTCAACACAGACTGCAGAACATACCAAAATACATTCCAGGGAAGGGGGAGTTATTTCACCAGAAGCCCACCTAAACATAGTGCACACATGTAGGCCATTGGTTAACTGAGTTAATCCAAAAACAGAACTGAGACTACCTCAGCAGGGGTCATGCTTGTTGACAAGAGGTGGTAAGAGCAGATACTCTTTATTATTAAGTATGGTGTTAGCTATCAGTTTTTCATAGATGCTTTTTATTTTGCTTAGGAAGTTCCCCTCTTTTCTAGTTTGCTGACAGGGTTGTTTTGGGGAAATGGTTACTGGATTTTTTTTTTTTTTTGGTCTTTTTAAGACAGGGTCTCACTATGCAATTCAGGCTGGCCTTCAGCTCACTTTGTAGCCCAGGCTGGTCTTGAACTCACAATGATCCTCCTGCCTCAGCCTCTGGAGAGCTGGGATTACAGCCGTGCACCACTACACCCAGTGGGTATTGGATTTTATCAAATTCTTTTTCTGCATGTATCTGTTAAGATGAACTTAAACATTATCTCTTATATGAATATGAAACCAACTGTGTATTTCTTGGACAAACCATGCCAAGTTTATATTTTAAAGTGGAGTTTCTTAAGCCAGAGTGAAAAAAAACAGCACTTCATTCATGGTTCTCATGGGCTGTTGAACTCCCTGAAATTGTACAAAAAATTCTGTGTGAATATGGGCTGGGGTTGCACTTACGACACAGTACTTCCCTAACATGTATAAGGCCCTAGGTTTGGTCCCCAGCATCACACACACACACAAACAAACACCCGTGAAGCTGGATGTGGTGGGTACATGTCTGTGATCTGGCACTCTGGGAGGCTGAGGCAGGAAGGTTCCAAGTTTGAGCTCAGCCTGGGGAACTTATTGAGACCCTATCTCAAAATAAACAAATAATAATAATAAGGAAAAAAGACTGGGGATTAGCTCAGTGTGAAAGCCCTGAGTTCAATCACCAGTATAAAAAAAAAAATCTGGCCAGGGATATACCTCAGTGGCACAGTGCCTGCCTGGCAAGAGCAAAGTCGTGAGTTCAAGTCCCGGTATAAAAAAAAAAATCTGTGAATATACAAATAATAGATTTTTCTCCAAACACAGAGGCTATTCCTCTCACTCTGTAGGTCTATGCTACTTCTCCCATAGAGAGGTGGAGTCTATTCTCTCCTTAAATCTGAACTGGGCCCTGTTCTGACTATAGAATGTGGCAAACATGAAACTGTGGCAGATCCAGGTCAAGCTCTTAAAAAGTCTGGCAGCTTTGTCTTCACTCTTTGAAAAACATCCATGTAAAGAAGCTCGAGCTAGATTAATGATGGATAAAAGACCATGCAGGGAACGAGCAGTCATGTGGCAAAGAGCCAGCGCACTGTATCTACCAGTGGCACAAAAGCCCCAGACCACCCTAGCTGAGCTCCCAGCTACATGCAGCCACACGACAGGCATGGAATCATGACAAATAGTAAGTCCTCTTCTGTTGTTGTTTTTTGAGACAGGGTCTTACTATACAGTTTAGGCTAGCTGCAAATTTATGATAATCTTCCTGCCATGCTGGGACCACAAGAATACATCATCATGCCCAACTCTAAATTGTTTTAAGGCTGTAAGTTTTAGGGTTGTTAGTTACACACTAGTATATACCTGAAACAGAGCTTACGCACACACACCTGGAGAATAGATTTCTTTTCTGTATTTCTTCCCTCCTCCCTCCCTCCCTCCCTTTCTTTCTTTCTTTTAAGGCAGGGTCTGGCTATGTAGTTCAGGCTGGCCTTGAACTTGCAGTGATCCTCCTGCCTCAGCCTCCTGAGTGCTAGGATTACAGGAACCCACCACCACATTAGGCTCACTTAAAATATTTTGTGTGTTGGCACATGCCTGTGATCCCAGCACTCGGGAGGGTGAGGCAGGAGAATCGCTGTGAGTTCAAGGCCAGACTGGGTTACATAGCGAGACCCTTTCTCAAGAAAACAAAACAAAAAAATTTCTGTGTGCCCAAAATATTTATATTGTAGACAGGAAAATGCATTTCTAGAATATAAATATTTATATTTATAAATGTAAGTAGCCCAAGAGCATTTGAATTAATTTGTTAATCAAACAGAAGGAAAAAGAAGGCTAGATTGGTGGCACATGCCTGTAATCCCAGCATTCAGGAAGCTGAGGCAGGGGGATCGCTGAAGAGTTTGAGGCCAGCTTGGGCTACAAAGGGAGTTTAAGGGCTGGGGATATAGATGAGTGGCTCAAGCGCCTGACTAGCAAGCGCAAGGCCAGGAGTTCCATTCCTAGTGCCAAAAAAACAAACAAACAAAAAACAAAAAAACAAAAAAACAAAAAAACAAGGAGAGTTTAAGGCCAACCTGAATTGCACAGTGAGACCCTGTTTCAAAAAAAACCCAAAAACACACAAAAAACAAAGGGAGTTCAAGGCCAGTCTGAACTGCATAGCCAAATCCTTATCTCAAAAAGACAAAAAATAAATAAAAATAATAAATAAATAAATACGAAGGAAAAAGAAAAATCTGAAAAGTAAATTTAAATTCTTAAAATCTAAAAATGTATCCACCTTTTAGAATTTGCACTGGGGAAGTCTTTCTGTTGAGCCATTTCCCTTGTTAGAAATTAA